CCATATGAAGAGCCTTTTTCAAAGCTTTCATGGTTCTCATACATAATTACTATCACAAGGTTGACTGTCTTCCAGCATTGCTTTACTGCTTTAAATGAAAGACACTTCTGCACTCTGTGAGGTGTTTTGGATGTTGGTTTGGTTTTTTGTTTGTTTAAGTCAAGATGACATCAGAAATTTTAAGGCATTAAACTTACCTGAATATGTTTCATTCTTTCTGTGTTGTTCATTGAGTTTTAAGTACTGTATTTCTGCCTCTTCCACAGATCGGGAGAACCAGTCCATCCTGATCACGTACGTACAGCCCTGCTCGGGTCCCTGTGGGGCTGCCCAGTGCCAGGGATCCTCCTGCCTCACCACACACTCTCTGCCTCTCTCTGCTTTGACAGTGGAGAATCCGGTGCCGGGAAGACTGTGAACACCAAACGTGTCATCCAGTACTTTGCAACAATTGCAGCCAGTGGGGACAAGAAGAAGGAGGAGCAGACATCAGGCAAAATGCAGGTGAGTCAGGAAGAACAGAGTCAACACTTGGCATGTCATTGTCCTGTCAGCTAAATAACTCTCGCCCTGCAGGGAACGCTTGAGGATCAAATCATCAGCGCCAACCCACTGCTGGAGGCCTTTGGGAATGCCAAGACTGTGAGGAATGACAACTCCTCACGCTTTGTAAGTTGCTTAACGAAATGATTCCTGCAGGACATTAATCAGGACTTTGTCAGTTGTTCTTTTCTGTGGTTCAGCCATCATGTTTTCAAGAGTAAAACGGTATTTTCTTGCAGTGACTTTTTCCACTTATCCTGAAGGTAATTCTGCAGATTTCAAAACACAAAACGTTAATTCTGCTTTACATTAAAATGCAAATTAAAGCAATAGATCACATGCTCTTTGTCGCATAATATATTACAGTGCAAACCAATAGATCTGTATGTTTTAACTTATATTTATCTTCTCTTTCTGAATGACAGACAGACAGAGTGCCTGGAAGAAAGGGAATGAGGTTAGGAAGGATGGGAAAGAAAGACAGAGAGGGTGTTTCGACTTGTATAACATATTTGTTTCATTTCAAATTTAATTCACCACAAGTGAAATTACTTATGAGATAGTGCAGATTGAAGCAGCTGAACTACTTAAGTGGCTGTTTCCATATCATTAAGGCAACTGCTCTCTGTGTCTGGGATCTAGTTGGAATATTTAGCTGATGAGATCCACCCATTTCTTCACATCTGCACATTCAGCTTACAGAAAATACAATTGTGCCACTGTTGCTTATTTTCATGATCAAGAATGAAGACGAGAACTTGATGTCAATGGTGGAAATATATCAGAGCAGCTCTAAGCAGAAATCTCAGTGGAATAAATGGCAAAACTCTTCACTTCAGGTATGCATTTTTATGCAGTAAATCTTAACCCTCTTTTATTGTTTTAAAGGGCAAATTCATCCGAATTCACTTTGGAGCCACAGGAAAACTAGCTTCAGCAGACATTGAAACATGTAAGACACTTCCCTGAGCTGTTTGCCATCCATTCACCTGTCTATTCATACAACATCTTTTCACCCAACTTCCTTCCCTGTTTTTCTTCCTGTATTCCCTTTACTCTCTTTTTTTCCCCCTGTTTCTAACTAAACATTCCCCCCAGATCTACTGGAGAAGTCCAGAGTCACTTTCCAGCTCAAGGCGGAACGAAGCTACCACATCTTCTACCAGATCATGTCCAACAAGAAGCCAGAGCTGATTGGTAGGAAGATTTAGTAACTTGGAGGAAGATTGCTGAACATCAGCTCACACTACTTGCTTGACTAAACCAAGCCTTGCATGCCCTCTCTGCTTACTTTCAGACATGCTCCTCATCACCACCAACCCTTATGACTTCCTGTTTGTGAGTCAAGGGGAGATCACAGTTCCCAGCATTAACGACCAGGAGGAGCTGATGGCCACAGATGTAAGTAGCAATTAGGAATACTGTACCTATTGTCATATCTCCCAGACAAAGGTTTTATTTGACTGCTCCTCTTGCAGAGTGCCATTGACATCCTGGGCTTCAGTGCTGAGGAGAAAACAGCCATCTACAAGCTGACAGGGGCTGTCATGCACTATGGGAACCTGAAGTTCAAGCAGAAGCAGCGTGAGGAGCAGGCAGAGCCTGATGGCACTGAAGGTATCATCTGTGGATGACCTGTTAGAAATAGATGTAGCAATAATAGTTCAGTATTTGGAAGATGGAGAAAGAAAATAGTAGAAAGGTGTTTAGGTGAGGTAGTATATAGGTATGAAACTTCTATCCATAATACATCATTTTTTAGTCACTGCCTAACCATTATCTGCAGTATCAAATGCAAATATGCTCATCAGTCTCTCCTGAGCTACCACTCAATGTGCTTAGACCCACTGAGAAGGGAAAGATATTTTTCCACACATGTATTTCTGGTTGATTTTCACAGAAAATGGAGGCATTATATTCAGTATTAGGACTTCTCCTTCATAAATGGCTTCTTATTTAGGGCAAATTGCTAATGAATCCAAGAGTGAATTTGTAATAAATATATTGTTTCTAGATTCTTCTGGGAAGGTCTTTAAAGACACAAATAGGATTTAGGTGTACTGCTGTGTAAAGCATTCTTAAGAAGTATGGATTTTGTTTGAATAACTATGTCCTGGTTCCTCTGAGATCCAGTAACCAAAGTTTGATCACAAGGACAGTCAATATCTCAGTTGTTTTGAAAAGAGTTTGTCATTCAAAGTGCTGCATATCTTGCTAGTCTTAATTTTTGCATCTCCTTGTCCTTCTACTCAGTTGCTGACAAGGCAGCTTACCTGATGGGGCTGAACTCAGCAGACCTGCTCAAGGCTCTCTGCTACCCCCGAGTCAAGGTGGGGAATGAATACGTGACCAAGGGTCAAACTGTGCAGCAGGTAACAACCAGACTGGGAACCTCTGACTTGAATCAGTCCCTATTTGCTTTGGATATTGTATTTCTATTGCTTCATGCATCTTTGTTCCAGGTGACCAATTCCGTGGGTGCCCTGGCAAAGTCTGTCTATGAGAAGATGTTCCTGTGGATGGTTGTTCGCATCAACCAACAGCTGGATACCAAGCAGCCCAGGCAGTACTTCATTGGTGTGCTGGACATTGCTGGCTTCGAGATCTTTGATGTAAGGAACAGGGATTTTGCTCCCACGTTTGAGGACTGCTCTTGCAAGGAGAGTTGGACTCTCTCAGAGGATTTGCAAGTAGTATTCTTCTGAAGGTTTAACATGCTAGTCATTTGCAATTTTATGGTAAAAACCCCTTCATTTTCTTCTATAGCAAAGAGCAAAAATCCTCAGAAGCTTCAACAGTCCAGGCACAGTTACACTGGTTGTATAGAAGTAGGAAACAGTATTTTATATACTGTAATATTCTAGCAGTTTGAGCTTTTAAGGATTAAAAAAACCTCCGTAATTATGTAAGAGCTTCTTGAGCAGAACTAGGAGGTACATTGACAAATATACAACAGGTTAAATATGTGTAAATTGTTTAAAGAACCAAGGAATGAATAGATAAGTGTTAAACAGAGATATCAGTTGTTTTAAAGTTGGAGACAAGTACATGCACTAATCTTTTTGGCTGAACAAAAAAATGCCAAAGGACTTTGTGAATTTTAGAAGCTTCACTAGGATTATCTCCTTTGGAAAAAAAAACCTTAATATTCATTCTGTTGGTATTTCTTTGTGGAGCTGCATATAGGTCCTGTTACAGTGTGGTGCTGTTTGTACAGTTGTGTTTTGACTGGGGAGAGTCATAAAGGGTGGAGAACGACCAGGAGCTGTGCATGTTGACAAGTCCTCCTTGTTGTGGGTTTTTCTCACTGAACAGTACAACAGCCTGGAGCAGCTGTGCATCAACTTCACCAATGAGAAGCTGCAACAGTTCTTCAACCACCACATGTTCGTGCTGGAGCAGGAGGAGTACAAGAAGGAGGGGATTGAATGGACATTCATTGACTTTGGGATGGACCTGGCTGCCTGCATCGCATCGAGCTCGAAGGTACATTTTGAATTCAAAATGTCTTGTGTTTTCAGGAGCTCATTATGAATATAGTTAAATGCTATTCAAGCATAAAATAAAAGGTTAGTTTCAGTTTTAGTTGTTGGAATATGTCTTGATCTATGATTCTGGACTGTAGATCTTGCAAAGTCCATGGGAAACTATAGTAGGAACTCCTCACACTTTCCTTGCATGGGAGATATCTCCACTTGCAGTATTAAAGGATATTTTGTTCAAAACACAGAGCAGCTCCCAAAGTAAAATGAAAACATTTCCTTAAATTTGTGGAGTAAAGTTATCTGGACAATACATTCTTAGCTGTACTACATGGTTCATAGCAAAGTAGGTCGAGGCCAATACAGTCAGTTCCTGGACTCTGAGTGCAAGAAACTGATACTTCTTGTAGCTCCATGTTATTTAGGGAAGTGATTGAAAGTACAGAAACAGAAGTAAATATGCAATGGACAGATTTGTGAAACATATTATTCAGTATAATCTTTCTCCTCCTGGATTATAACATGGTTTTTGGCATAGAAACCATGCCTGAATCTCTGTGCCAAAGTGTGAGTCATGCAGGTGAATCTTTTTAACTCACTTTTTAGGTAGAAATTTTCTTCACAACAAGTCAATTGCTCTGTTTCTCAGCTTCCTGTTTTTTACTGCCAGTCCCTTTGAGACCAAGTCATAGTCATATTGTTCTACAGTCATTCTCTTTCATTTATTGAACTATCTCCCAGCCCATGGGCATCTTCTCCATCCTGGAAGAGGAGTGCATGTTCCCCAAGGCAACTGACGCCTCTTTCAAGAACAAGCTCTATGACCAGCACCTGGGCAAGTCCAACAACTTCCAGAAGCCCAAACCTGCCAAAGGCAAGGCTGAGGCTCACTTCTCCCTGGTGCACTATGCTGGCACAGTGGACTACAACATCTCTGGGTGGCTGGAGAAGAACAAGGACCCTCTGAATGAAACTGTCATTGGGCTGTACCAGAAATCCTCTGTGAAGACACTGGCTTTACTTTTTGCTTCCTATGGTGGAACAGATGCAGGTTATTTTTCTAAAGTTCCTTTTTTAACATTTGTGATATGTAAAGATGCAACAAAGAAAAGATAATATTGAAAAACTCTCTTTGTTTTTGAAGATGCTAGTGGTGGTGGTGGTTCTGGTGGTGCAAAGAAGGGTGCCAAGAAGAAGGGTTCTTCTTTCCAGACAGTTTCAGCTCTTTTCCGGGTAAAGTATGAAATAATTGTCTGTAAAATGACATGAGCATAGTGTCAAATCTGAGCTAAATACACTCCTTCTTTCAACACTGGTTTCCTGATGAAGCAGTAATACGTATAAGGGCCCAAGGGAATGGTCTGAAGTTGTGTCAGAAGAGGTTTAGGCTGAAGATTAGAAAATGGTTCTTCCCCTAGAGGTGTTTGGGCACTGAACAGCTCCCCAGGGCAGTGTCACAGCCCCAAGGCTGACAGAGCACCAGGAGTGTTTGGCCAATGCTCTCAGGCACATGATGTGATTCTTGGGGATGCCCTGTACATGGCCAGGAGTTGGACTAGATGAACCTCACAGGTCCCTTCCAACTCTGATTATCCTGTGTTTCTGTGAAGTATGAAGTGCCTTTTCCTATTAATTTTCTATGAAAATTAGGATCTGTTTCAACCAGTCTTCATTTGACACTCTGAATTTCTTGTAAGAGTTCCCTCACAATCCTTGTGAAAAACATTAATCCTACAAAAGTTTGTGTTAAAATATTTGCTTCCTCCAAAATAAGATTAAGAGTTTTAAACTTTGTTTTAATGAGATTACTTTTTAATGATAAGTATATAGAAGATTTGATTAAATCTAAATTTTGAATTTGAAAGCTTCTTTCTCATAGGATCCGTTACATTAGTTCCTTGGCATCAAGGCACAAAGTGTACAGAAGTAAATTCCTTTAATCTAAGCTGCTCCTCATGACTCTACAGGAGAACTTGAACAAGCTGATGACCAACCTGAGGAGCACTCACCCCCATTTTGTGCGCTGCATCATCCCCAATGAAACCAAAACACCTGGTAAGATGCTCAAGTAGGAAGAGAGTTTGCTCTGACACAGCCATTCCACTCTGCACTGGAATCTGTGGCATTCCTTTGTGCTCTGCATTGCTAGGTACCATGGAGCACGAGCTGGTGCTGCACCAGCTGCGCTGTAACGGGGTGCTGGAAGGGATCAGGATCTGCAGGAAAGGTTTCCCCAGCAGAGTCCTCTATGCTGACTTCAAGCAGAGGTAAGAGCACTGCACTTCCAGCAACATTAAAAGTGATGTTGGTTCATTCACAGGTCCATCAGGCTGTGCTCTGTTGTCAAAAACAGCTACATGTTCAGTAGTTTGTGTTGGCTGAGAAAAAAATATCCTTATCTTTGTCTTTTCACAGA